CAAATGGAGGGCATGGTGAACTTGGCAGTGCTTGTTGGGTCTGTATGAAAGAGAACATAAGTGATCATGTGCACTCAGAGTTCTGGCTCTGTGGAGACCAGAGCGATACCTGTGTGGCCTCAGCTCACCTGACCAGCTTCCTTTCCTCCCAGACCCCTGGTTAGGACCCAGGCATGTCTCTGCACAGTCCGCAGAATATACCAAGCCTGTCTATATTTCTGGCCTGAGGCTATGATGTTCCCTTCCCAGCCTGATGTACCATGCAGAGGAGCACTTTGTTCTCCTGTCTTTGATTGTTTTGATAGAACATCTTATGAACCAGTTTTGAAAGGAGAAAGGGCTTTGGTGTCAGATAGATCAAGGTTTAAATCATAGGACATCCATTTACCTGCTGTGTGACCTCAGGCAGGTCACCTCATGTCTCTGATCCATAATTTCCTTTTTGTCGCAGAGGGTTTAACAATTCTAAAGAGATATGTATGGCATTGGCAAAGGCCTAGTGCAGTGAGGCTCAGTGCCAAGCTCATAGTTGTTCCTTTCCCTCTCTGTGCACCAGGTGATTTCCTGAGATCAAAGATTATAACCTAATTCTTCTGGAGCCTCCATAGTTTGGAGCACACAGCTTTTATGATATGAATACCTTTGTTCAGGAGTCAACTGTTTCATTTATTTTGCAATTCCAGGTGCGGGCAGGTGAGGCTGCTTCTTCTATTTCCAGAAGCTCCTGGATATTGGTTTTCTCCTCTGGTTTTTCAATGCTCAGGATTCCTAGCAAACCAGCTTTCTCATCTGGACTCTGAGCTTGGTAGTGAAGGGCTCATCCTTCTTGAGAGGCAGCGCCTCAGGGTTTGATAAAGATGCTGATGATGGTGCCTGCTTTTGCAAGCTTCTGCTGCTTTTCCAAGTCCCCCAGGCACCGTGCTGTTCCACAGTTAATCATTACCTTGTTCATCTGCCTCCTGAAGGGGCTTTCATCCCCTTCCCACCTGCTGCTCCTTCAAGATAAGACTCGCTTCCTCTATGCAGCTGTGCAGACTTAGGCCCCTTCCCACAGCCCGCATGGACTCTCCCACTCCCCTTTCTGAAAACGCTTGCACAGATTCCCCATCACACTTGTAGCAGTGATTATGCTTAGTGGTCTCTGTCTGCCCTTACTGTTCTTAGGAGTTTGACTAGTTGAAAAATAACACTCTGTTTTTGTTTCTGAATCCAGTATATAATACTTTGCTTGAAATGGATGGACTGAGGAAAGGAAGGGAGACAGGCAGAAGGACTTTCCAGCCATTATAAATGCTAAGATTGTTTCTTTCTAATATGCTATGGATCTTTCCCTCTATAGTAGTGTATCCCAGTGAGCTTGTATTTACGGATACAAGATAACGCCTACAGGCCTAATTTCCTAAACTTCAGAGACCTAGGGGGAGGATGTGTGGGAAACCCATGAGTGGGGTGAAGCAGAGTGGCAGAATTTATCAGAGTTCATTTCCCTTCCTTGGGTTTGGTTTCCATTAAAATGGAGAGCAAGAGTGGAGATTAACAGTGTTAAAATTTAAGTAGGAAGGTAATTCTGCTAAGCAATGTAATAAATAGTTAAAAATTCAAAGAGATATTTCTATCCACATAAAACAAATATTGGTCCCCTCTTTAGATTTCCCTATGTGATATCTGCTGTGTATCTGAAAGACAGATATAAATCATGCTAGGAAAAGGGGGCTATTCCTAGGATATCTTATATAATTTTTTTTTATTTTAAAGATAAAAGGAGGGAAACATTAACAGACATACAACATTTTACAACATATCACAAGCACAATACAGACAATACAGAGTTACAAACAAAGTGGTAGGGAATTAACAATGGTGGTTGTATTACATATTGATATCTTCAAAGTGGCTTCTCATGAAAACAGATATAAACATGCAATACTGGTCAACCAAAGACTCATTGATAGTTTCTTTCAGCATAGAAATAGAAGACAGAGGAACAACCATGTTATCTATCCTGTATATACATACATACAAAATTTCTCCTTCGTTCCCTTCTCTTTTCCCACATCCCAGAAGCCCTTTACTCTTCAGTGGTTTCCTATCATTTCACAGTGTCTATCATACCTCCGAGTTTAAATTAACTCTTTCAAGTTTTACACTAGTGACACAATGTGGTGCTTGCACATGTATGTTTGATTTATTTCACTTATGAGTATGGTTTCTAGTTGTGACCATTTAAATATAAAGGCCTCGAGTTTATCTTTCTTTACAGCTGTGTAATATTCCATTATATGAAAGTACCATAATTTTCTTATCCAATCCTCGGTGGATGGACATTTGGGTTGCTTCCACATTTTATCAATTACAAATTGTGCTGCTATGAACATAGGTGCACATATATCACTGTGATATGATGTTTTTAGATCTTCTGGGAAAATACCCAGCAGGGGGATAGCTGGGTTGAATGGGACCTCTAAACCTAGTTTTCGGAGGAATCTCCAAACTGTTTTCCACAGTGGTTTCACCAGTCTGCATTCCCACCAGCAGTAGAGAAGGGTTCCTATTTCTCCACAGCCTCGCCAGCATTTGTTATTGGTTGATTTCTTAATGCTAGCCATTCTTACTGGGATAAGGTAGAATCTTAGTGTTGTTTTAATTTGCATTTCTTGAATGACTAATGATGTTGAACATTTTCTCATATATTTATTTGCCGTTTGTATCTCCTTGTCTGAGAAATGTGTGTTCATCTCAGCTGCCCATTTTTGGATTGGGTCTTTGAATTTGGAGGGGCTGAAATTTTTTAATTCTTTATATGTTCTAGATAGAAGCCCTTTGTCTGAGGGACAATCAGCTAAAATTTTTTCCAAGTTTGTGGGTTTTCTTTTGACTCTGCTGGTGATTTCTTTAGATGTGCAGAAACTTTTCAGTAGGATGAGATCCCAGTTGTTGATTCTTTCAAGTGTTTCACGTGCAATTTGGTTTTTATTCATGAACTCTCTGCCTACCCCTGTGTCTTCGAGGTTTTTACCTACTTTCTCTTCCAATAGATTTAGTGTTTCTGGTTTAATATTGAGATCTGTGAACCATTTTGACTTGAGTTTGGTGCATGGTGATAGGCTTGGGTCTTATTTTTATTACAAACTAGTTGTTCTGAAGTGTTCCCAGATCAATAAAAGTTGTAAAAATAAAAGTTTTTGACACATAGTAGCTCACAGTTGACAAAGTATTTTCCAGGATCTATCTTATTTATTCCTCATAGTAAACCTATAGGTGAGGCCCTTATTATCCTTGATTTACAAATGAGGTTTGAAGTGCAGAAAGACTCAGTAGTTTGCATAATGTCAGGGGATGGGAAAGTCATACCCGAAACAAGGTGCAGTACTTCTAAGTCCTAGGCATCTTGCATGTTTACTAGGTGTGAATTGCTGTTTAGGGCTCATAATACAAACCAGTGGAAGATGAAAGAATGGGCCAGCATCCAGCGATGCTAAATGTCTGTAAATGCAGTGTATTAACATTCATGAGGACAGAAAATCTGTAGTCCTGTACATTTTTCAATCTGTTGAATATCAAATCATTTTTCCCTAGTGAACTGTCTACTGAATTTCAAAAACCATGCAATGGAATTAGTCAAATGCACAATACGCATGCATGGATGTGGATGTGGGCGTACGGTTTTATTGTTTAAGATACTATACCATCTCCTCAAGATGAACTTTGGAGGAACAACCCAATCAGAATCACATTGTTATTCTTGAATATACTGGAGAGTATTCTCCACTCACTGAACAACCAAGGGGATGTACACAAAGGCTCTGATGTTTTCTTTCTATTTCCTATTAAGTGTCTCTCTTTAGCATATTCTTGCCTTCCCTTCTAACTGGACAGGTGTTTGACCAGAGTGACCATGAAGAAAGTGGACATTGTACTAAATGTGAAAAAGTTTCTGTGTCATTAGAAAATCCAGGCAGAATTGAGACCAAAAGGTCAAGGATTCCAATTTGTGAGACTGTTGTTTCCAGGTAACATTGCACTTTATGATGAATGCTTATATTTCCAATGGAAGATTTGTCAGTTTTGTTTCATGGAAAAGGAATGGTGTAGCCAGGCATGGCGGTGCAAGCCTGTAATCTCAGCATTCTGGTACGAGGCAGGAGGATCAAAATTGGATCCCAGCCAGGGCAACTTGGTAACTTAGCACAATGTTATCTCAAAATAAAAAAATTAAGAAAGGACTGGGCATGTAGTTCAGTGTGAAGAGCCTGGTTTCAGTCAATCCTTAGTACTGAAAGAAAAATAAAGAAAAAGTACAGAAAGGCAGAGCTGTGGACAGTGTCCACAGTGTTACTCCTCTTGAAAGTGGTGTCCAGAGTGTTCTGGGGGTGTCCCGAATATATACCCTGCAGTGGGGTGGGGTGAAGGGCATCATGCGCCTATGGCTGCTTCCCTTAGGGGCTACACCGTCAGTCAGAAACAAACCGTGACCCTGCTTAAGCTGCTGTGACAGGTTGGAGATTGTGCTTGCTCACAATAAGTCCAAGTTTTGTTTGCCCAGGTGTATGACCTTTGTCACAGGTGTACAAGCAGCTACGTGTACCAACATTATCCCATTTCCTTATCTGCCACGTGAGGGAAATATGATTCCTTCCACAGAGATTGTCTCATTAGGATCCAAGGAAGTAACATGTACTGTAGTGCTTTATAAGTTATGCAGAGATAGATTATTGTTTAAATATTTGCATATAAAAATTTTTACTTATGGAGCATCTGGCATGATTGAGGACCTGTGATCCATTTACCTCAATTCAAGATATTTGTTATAACTAAAACAGACAAAACAAAACTGATCATGTTTCATGCTTATTTTTAAGAAGTGGAGATAAGATGAAAGCAAGCACATAAGATATCAGTCACAAAGCCACATGAGAAGTATTGCCATAGCTCCGTGCCTGCCCACGTGGGCACCATGCTCCTGCCCCTCACCCCCTAATGCTCTCTCTCCTGCACTGCAGGCATGCGCCAGGGCAACGACCACGGCACCCAGTACCGCTCAGCCATCTACCCCACGTGCGCTGCGCAGATGCAGGCGGCCCTGCAGTCCAAGGAGGACTACCAGAAGGTAGGGCACCCGTCACCTGTGTGGCTGTGGGGACAGAGGTCAGTCCCCACAGAATAGGGTGGTTTGCTTCTCCTGCCTGGAACTGTGTTCCCTTGCACATTTCCTAGCATTAGTGCTGGTCTCTTGGAGTGGAGCTGTTTTATCCAAGAAATGGACACAGTGAGGTCTTCAGAGCAGGGCCTTGTATAATTCTCTTTAAATCAGCTCCTCCAGATGAGTTGGTGCTTGTTGAAATAGAGTTTCTGTTCATCTTCTCCCTCTCCATCTCCCTCTCTCTCTCCTCCCTATCTCTCTCTCTCTCTCCCTCTTTCTCTTTATCTGACTCTCACTTTGTTTAACCAATAGACATTTATTGTCTCAGGGTTGTGGAGGCCGGAGGTCTGAAAGGGAGTTGTGGGCTGTGAGGAAGATGGCCACCTTCTCCCATGTATATTCACATTTTATGTGTGTCTGTTTCTGTGTCCCAATTTCCCATTTTTAAGGACTATGGTCCTACTGGATTAGGATGAACCCTAATGACCTCATTTAACTTGATTACTTGTACAGACCCTGTCTAAGAACAAGGTCACATTGTGGGAGGTTAGGACCCCAACATATTTTTCTTGGGAGACACAATTCAACCCGTAGTGCTCACTTGCCAGTAACAATAAAATACTTCTCAGAATTACAATAAAAATACTTCTCAGAAATATGTACTTTACATCATAAAATAATTATTTTTACTATTAACTTATATAATATTTTAAAAACTTCCTCCAATAGGGATTTAATTCTTTTAAAAACAACCTGAATTGCTTTAAATAGTAGAACTTAATGATAAGGCTTAAATTTTAGTTATCCTTACATTGTCTGACGCAGATTCACATTTAACAATACAGTCAGTAGCTACTGTAATACTGATTTTAGAACAGGTGAAAGGGACCAGAGCCTGTCTACTGGTGAGCAGGTACCAGGCATGGGATGCATGGTCAGCTTGACTCTTACAAGCAGACTGGGCTGAGACGGATGCTGAGAGAGACAGAGCCCGATGTTCCCACCCCACAGCTGTGATCTCTCCCTGGTTGACAGTGGTAATAGGCCCAGAGTGCAGATCCAAGCATTTAGTCTCCTCTGCTGGAGTGTGGAGTGTGGGCTGGATTTAGTGACAGAAGTGGTGGGATGTCACTCCTGAGGTCAGGTTGTTAAGACTGTGGTTTGTATCTTGGGATCTCTCTCTCTCTCTCATCACCCTGGGTAGCTAGCCACCGTGTTGTGTGGCAGCCCTATGTAGGGGCTCCCAGAGCAGGGGACCAAGGCCTGCCAAGACCGCATGAACAAGCAGGGAGCCCGTCAGCCTCATCCAACCTTCAGATGAGACTGCAGTACTAGTGTGCTATCTGACTGCAGTGTCATGAAAGACCTTGAGCCTGGGCACTAGTGAGCCATACAACAGAAACTGTGAGATAGGGGCTGGGGATTTAGCTCAGCGGCAAAAGTGCCTGCCTGGCAAGCGCAAGGTCGTGAGTTCGGTTCCCGGTACCGGAGAAAAAACAAAAAACAAAAAACAAACAAACAAAAAAAGAAACTGTGAGATAATAAATGCATGTTATTTTAAACTGCATAAGGGCCTGGGGTGTAGCTCAGCTGCACAGCGCCTACCTGGCAAGTGTGAGGTCCTGAGTTTGATTCCTGATAGTGAAATAAATAAATAAATAAACTGCTCAGTTTGGGAATAATTTGAGTATCTTTATATTTTTATCCCAAACAACTTTTGCCTATAAAAGTTCTAAAAGTTTCTCCTCAAAATCTCTCCTATTGTTTTTCATTATGATTTTCTGACAAGAGTGGGCTTTCCCAGGCATATGTGGTGGTGGTTATGCTCCTACTGTCGACTGTCCTAATTCATGTGTCATCTGTGTGGTTTATCATGTGCTTGACACTTAAAAACCATATATTTTATTTAACTCAGGCAGACCTATGAGACTGAAGGAGATTATCTCATCTTTCAAATGTTCAAACACAGGAAAATAATTATTCATAGAATAAGTGGAAGTAAAGAGAAATAGGTCTAGATAGAAGGAGATGAGGCAGGAAGGTATGCAGGACTCCAGGGCAGAAATCCTGAGAGTGCTGTCTAGGATGGTGGATGTAGGGACAGAGTGAAGGGAAGTTAGGAAGTAAACTTCACAGAACTTGGAACTGAACTGGAAGCTGAAGGTCACTGAGAGGGAGAGATCCACAGTTACTTGTTGGTTTCCAGCCAGTGATATTCTGAACAAAAGTATGAAGAAGGAGAGGCAGACATGTGGAAAGGTAAGTTCAATTTTAAAAATGTGGAGTGAGGCACCCATGGTAGTGGTTGCTGGGAGGAAGCATGGGTTGCTTATTCCTAGAGAGCTGTTGTTTTAACTGGGTCAATGCTTGTGAAGCACAGGGCATACCACATAGTAAGTGCTCAATAAATGGGAGCCTCTATTATTATTATTGAGAGCTATCAACATGTTTGCTAAATGGAGGCCTATTTGCTGATAAGACCACTTATGGAAATTGATGAGTTACGAGGGCCTAGGATCTGAGGACCATGGACATTTGAGAAATGGGAAGGGATGCTACACCAGGCATGTTAGGCACTTTGGAGAACCAATCAACCCCAAGCAAGAACTTTAAAAATAGGTGTATTTGGTTTAATTTTAATATATTTAATTATACAGGCAATGGTTGTAATTAATGCCAAAAGTGAGACATGAGTCATGCTATAAATAAATTGCCTAATGTAATGATTCTTAGCCCTTGGAGGTTACTATCAATGATATCAAGAGACTCTCGATGGATATTAGCTGACCCTGAGAATACCTCAAAATGAGGTGACATTTTAGAGTTCACAGCGAAAATTTTAAGCTCCATGTGATGGTGAAGAGATTTATACGTTATTTTCCAGTTTCTACCCCCATCTAGTTTGTTATGCTTAGCTTTGGATTGAAACTGAGTTGGTTTTAGATAACCAATGTCCATCCGAAATAAAATTTGGGCATTAAACAATTAATTGTTTTATTCATTTCTCCATTATTTTGTACATTTTTGAAATTTTAATCTTATATTCTAGACAGTTGCTCTAACTGAATGGTTTTTGGATGTTCTACATGTTAGCACATGGAGAGAGTTATTTGGCTTGGCTTTAAAATTAGAATCTATTTTCGAAAAATAAGGACTGAGGACTCCTCTGCAAGATAGTCTTGCTCCTCATATAACCACAAAAATTTCTTTCTCACTCACTCAGAGAACAAACTGCTACATATTTTTTATTCTATCACATAAATAAAATTGCCAATAAAATTGGCACTGAGAGATGGGTAACAAGCCCAGTATTTCCGTTCTAATTAGTTACAACTCAGAGTCTTTCCTGTCAACCTGCCCTCCCAGTACCAGCCCACCTTGTGCCACGATGGCACTTGTCTTTTCCATGCTATCTGGCAGAGTGGCCTCTAGTCACATGTGGCTTCTGAGCAGTTGAAATGTGATGGATGTAGCTAAGGAGCTGAAAATATTCTTTTAATCAATACATATATTAAATAGCCACATGTGGCTGGTGCCTAGCATATTAGAAAGCATTAGCCCAGAAAGGGGTGAGTGTATGCATGCACGTGCATGGGTGTGCACACACATGTACACCATGAAAGGGCTGAGGCCATGACAGTTTGGCTCCCTGAATGGAAGGTCTGCAGTTCTGCAACAGACCAGTTGCAGAACTGCAGACCTTTCACCTTCACCACAGCTTCTTCCTGGAGCACCGAACTGTGGGGAGCATAGGTCCTCATGCCCTGCAAAGGTGCTATGCTAGGATCTCCACTCACCTTTTCCTTTCTGGAGACAAAGGTCATTTTCCTCTTTGTAAGTATCTCACTGTGTAGGTAGTAGGGTTAGCCACGCATCTGTACCTGGGTGACCACTGTGATTTTTTCTTAGGCTGAGACCCACAGAAGGCTAAGCCCAAGTCTGCAGCTCATGTGCAAGGACCAGCTGGGGTGTGTGGTGCCAGGCAGCTGGAGCAAGGGATGGGGAGTGGAGGAGAAGAGGAGGGAGGCCTGGTATACATTGGCCTCTGCTGTCCTAACAGGTAGTCTGAGCCTTTGAAATCATCAGCCCTTCCAGGGAAGGAAAGGAAACATACTTCTGGTGGACGCCATCGACCAGGGTGCACTCTGCACTGCTGGCTCGGGACAGCATGCATGTGCCCTGGGGATGGGGTAAGGCACTGGCCAGGCGGGCAGCTGCACAAAACTAATGAGAAGCCATGCAGAATGGGGCGCAGCCACTGTCATAGAGTGAGAGGCAGCTGAGGCCACAAGGATCTGAGGTGAGGTGTGTGTCAGCAGCATCTGATGCCATCTCTATGAAGGGTCCTTCTCCACACCCACCTCCGGCCCCAAGTTAGGAATACCGAGTCTGCAAGGGCTCAAGGCTGCCTCCAGGACTGAGTAGCTCTCTAGTGTTCTTGCTGGAGCAGAAGAAGAGGGCGAGGTCACTCTCAGTAGGGCATCCTGCTGCTCCCATGGAGTCATCCAGTAGATGGTTTTCTCTAACCAGTTCATAGAAGTCTGTGATGGACAGTGCCTGTGTCGCTATGCAATAACAGCAGCAATAATAACAGCCAAAGAACACTTACTAAATGCTAATTACTGCTTGAGACAGTTCACTAAATAAGGTCATTTATAAATCTTCAAGGGTCTTCATCTCCGTACATAGATATAGTGAATGTGCTTGGATGTAGGTATGTACATCTCTGTACCTATATAAAATTATATGCATGCACATGTTTCTAAGATCTTGTTTCTTGCTTTGAAGCTCATGAATTCCTAACTGTTCATTCTATTGATATAATTGATAAAATATATACCAAAGGGGGGGGTGAATAAACCAATAATTTGCTTGTGAAAATGATATAATTAGCCATTATACTATAAAGGAATCAATCTTTTCTTTTACATTTACCTTAAGAAGTCCTGGTTGCTAATGGACCCAGA